GATGTCCAAATGGCAACTCAATTAGGCATAGATCCAAGTGCAAATGGATGAAAGAAAATGTCTTTCTCCCTGTCATATTTTGCAATGTAAACCTGTATTAATATATGGATGTCTTCAAGCATTTCTGTAAATACTTCTACTTCCCAGAGCTTTTATCACCACATGCAGAAGAGAGCAGTCAAGAAATTTAGGATGGTGAAAAACACTGTCTGTTGATCACAGATCAATAATCTTTGGGGGGGGGGGATTACATTCACATTAACAACAATACAAAGGGGTGTGTAATTATCACAATCAGAGCACTAGTAAAGAGGGAGTTTGATCCCCTTGTCTTCTTCTATAACAAAAAAACCCACATGCTGGATAGTAGCCTTTGAGGCCCATTCCACACTACCCCTATATCCCAGGATCCCAGATTATCTGGCAGTAGAGACTCATATAACCCAGTTTAAAGCAGATAATCTGGGATCAGATCCTGGAATATAGGGTAGTGCAGAAGGGGCCAGAGACATAATTTTCACTCTCTTGGTGAAAATTAGATCTAAGTCTGGTCCCAGTTATAACTAAGGCCCCTTCCAAACAGCTGTATAAAATCCACATTGAATTGGATTATGTGGCAGTGTGGACTCAGATAACCCAGTTCAAAGCAGATACTTTGATATTCTGGGTTATATGGCTGTATGGAAGGGCCCTAACTGTGCTGTTATTTGCATTTTTAAAATAGATACACACAGATATACATGTAAGAAGCCTCTAATTTGACACTAAATGCTAAATTTTCTTAGGAATTGCAGTCTTCCAACAAAGTTAAACAATACATGGTTTTAGTAGCCAAACAAACCTTTTCTTATAGTATCTACATTTTCGAGTTTAACAATGCAGATCTGCTAGTGACAACTTAGGCTACGATGCAAAATTCAGACCTTGATGACAATCTTGCTAGTACATATTTAGAGGACTTTTTAGTCACAACAGCTCATTACTCACTTTAACTAGATTGGAGTAGAAGACTTAAAGAGAGAGAAAAAGATAGAAATGTAAAGTGAACAAAGTTGACATGAGTTCTTGAAGTAAATATTCAGCACTATTGATGTTTATATTCAGTACTATCTACATGCTCAGCAAAAGAAAGCAGCCTGTTTTTCTGCCAAATCAGAAAGCAGGAAAAACTGTGGGAAAGCCTAGTCTGTGCCAAGCCAACACTAACTTATAAAAGCATTATATAAAATATTTACAATGATCTACTTATATAATTACAGGAGTTGTCTAGCAATGTCGCCCCAAAAGGTCACATTGCTATTCTTCTTGTGATTGTGTGCCTTCACATTGATTCTGACTTAAGTAGACCCTGATTTATGATAGCTCTGTTGTACATTTCTTGGCAAGATTTATCCAAAGGAGGTTTGCCATTGTCTTCCTTTTAGGATGAGAGAGTGACTTGCTCATGGTCATCTAGTGGGCTGAGTGGACATTTATCCCAGAGCGCAAGTCCAGCATTTAGACTACTACACTGCTGTGGTTCTTATATGCACTTATCAGAACTACTGTATATTCCTCCTCTAATATTTTAGACACTATGGATTAGGTCCTCTGTAAGACATTAGCTATGATGTTTTTGGCTTGTCAAAAACCCAGACTCACCACAAATCCACTGCTGTCTGTCTCCACGATGTGCAGTGAGAATTTAATCTGACTTTCCCCCACTTTAGGCAATGTTGGGAGATACTCAGAGTTTGTTGGAGACTTTGGAGACTCCCAGGTTTCACAACAGTCTGGATAATTGGATCAGGTCTGTTTGAACTAGATATTGCAACTATACCCCTAAACCTTTTCTAGTGTAATTGTAGAAAAAGATAGTTTTCTAACCTTATCATTATGCAGCCTTGCACTTTATTCCATGCCCTCATCCCATGGTTACAGCTCTGTACTTTTTCTTATTGTTTACAACCTGGCCATGTTTACATTAGCTATCACCAATGTCGGATGTGCACTGTTTTATTATGAATTTTATGTTGTTACATGTTTACTTGTTTTAATCACTTGTATTGTATATTGTGTTTTATGTCATGCTTTGTTTTAGGCACCTGTTGCCTTGTGTAAGCCACCCCGAGTCCCTTCAGGGAGATGGCGGTGGGATACAAAAATTGTTATTGTTGTTGTTATTATTATTTTTAGACCATTGCTGTTATTTTCCATTCTTGGGGAACAAAATAATGGGGGGCCCGGGACAGACGACTTAAAGAGATTATACAGTAAGTTGAGCCATATGACATACAGAACTGCTATGCTACACTGTCACTGAGGATTTCAGCCTCAGTGTGGAGTTCACGCTAAATCTTAGAATCATAGGATAGAGTTGGAAGAGACCACATGGGCCATCTAGTCCAACCCCCTGCCATGCAGGAAAAGCACAAAGTATTCCTGACATGACCATCCAGCCTCTGTTTAAAAGTTTCCAAGGAAGGAGCTTCCACCACACTCCAAGGCAGAGAGTTCCACTGTTGAACAGAGGACATTTCACAACAAGATTACCCAGTGAAAACTTTTGAGTACTTGATATTCAATAATTCAGTGTCCATGAAGATTTTGGTCTAATTTCTTGAATTTGCTAAATACCATTGTTTTAAGGGGGGGGGGGGACAGCCAGTTTCTATATAAACATTTGTTTTATTTGCCTCTGAATTAATGCATTTGTTCAAGAAACCCCTTGGATATCCGAGTGGAAAAACACTTGATCAACACTTATAAAATGGGGGTCCGTTTATTTGGGTGGGGAGACAAGAAGCAACTAGTAAGAATAGAAAAGGCCTTTGAACTTGACTCTAAAGTCCCATTACAGCATCACACAAGAATGTTATTAGCCCCACTACATTGCTTTGACTGTGGATTTAGATGCCCATCACCACCCACCTAAATTCTCTGCAATGAGAAATGCCTTGTGTACAACTAACAGAGAAGCTTGAGCTTTTTTATTATGTGTTGCAGTTCAACATCTTTTAAAAATCCCTATAACCTTATTCAACTCTCCTCATAGTTTAATGACATCCTGAGATCTCTGATTTTTAAAACAGTGCTGTTTAAAATTTAAACTCAAATGTAGATTGGGATTTGTTACAATCATGGAAATAGTGTCAAAATGGTGACTAAGTAGCTTTTCGGGCTGTATGGCCATGTTCCAGAAGCATTATCTCCTGACGTTTTGCCTCCATCTATGGCAGACATCCTCAGAGGCTGTGAGGTCAGGCAGGTATCCTCAGGCCTCACAGCCTCTGACGATGCCTCCCACAGATGCAGGCAAAACGTCAGGAGAGAATGCTTCTGGAATATGGCCACACAGCCTGAAAAACTTAGAGTAACCCAGTGATTCCGGCCATGAGAGCCTTCGACAATACGGTGACTAAGTGGTTATTGAAACTCTTTTAACTGTTTATATACAGCCATAACTATTTCATATTGGCTATATTACATAACGTTTTAATAGCATTGCTATATTGTAGCCCCTCCCCTAACACAACTTACTTTACTTGAGAAATAGATCCATTGTTCTGACAACTGGAGCACAGCTGAATTATGTTTCCACCAGGTTTAAGAATGTTGGGCCAGGAGAGTTAACTTGCTTATGTATGCTTAACTAAATTGCTTATAGAGAATACAGGATACTGTTTTAAAAGTTGGATTTAGTGAAATAGCAGATGTTTGACAATCTGCCAAAATTCAGCAGCTTTGTGTTAAGTAAGATCCCAAATCTTAGTACTATTTCTGGAACTACAGCTCTACAAGCTTGAAGTGGATAAGTTGATTCTTTTACTCAGTCAAGCCAGCTGTGATATTCCAGAATTACAGATGGAAACGTGGTCAGGATTTGGGTGAGGTTTGGTGGGGTGGCCTTGCAACTTTGGCTAGTGTGGACAGCATGCCATTAGTCACAAATGTGTAAAGGTGGCTTGTGTCTGCATCACACTCTATCTTTTTTTACAGGGCACAGAGGTCTATTCTCTAGCTTTTTACATGCCTAGCCCTGGGAGAGGTTGACGCAGAGAGGACAGAGAACACTGCGGCCAAAGCATTATATTCTGCTTGCTTGATAAAGAACCTTGGTCTATTTTCCTTATTGTTGATATTTTTGGGGGAAAGAAAAACAAACAACAACTTGCAAATATTTTAGTTTTGCATGTACTTTATTCTACAACACAAGCAACATAAATAGTTAGAATTTGTTTTAAAATATCTTCCTTTAAGAATTCCCTTTGAACAAAATATACACAAAATACATTTCGCGGACTGGCTTACAATGAACTCTTGAACATAGACACAGAAATAACTAAATAGGGGGGAACAGGACCTGGAGGAATCATTTATTAAATTTAAAATCACATGGAAAACTAGGGTAAGGACCAAGGGCAGTCTCATGTCAGCTACTCATAGCTGTGTAGGCTTAGGCTGACTTTGTATGGCCACGACATATGGAGTGCGAAGAAGACAAAGGGTCCAGATACAACCCCACTGAATCACTGCCATGCTGTAGTTCTTTCCTACTAAGCTTAGAAACCTGTGCTTGCAAAAAGCTCAGGGCACACATAGGTTGCAGTCGACTGAAGATTTATTTTCTCCCTTCAAACTTGTTTGGATTCTACTATTTCTACATTCCTATAGGTAATGAAGCAAGACTCCTTATGGCCACCACTGGATTCACAAGTCAATTTTGTTTTTGTCACTTTCACTTTTGAGTTTTTTAGATCTTTGGCATAAGAAAGCAAACACTCCTTGGTGGCTTTCCTTTCCTGGCAACAAGATTAAAAAGAGTCCCTTTCCCCTAGTTTGGCATAATTTGTTCTAAAACAGCAACCATTTCCAAAACTGCTCAAGATGTTGGATAATTTCTTTGCCTTATAATGAGCATCTCCATTGATCTAAGAGTGACACTGCAGAGTTTTCTTTTTAGTTCAGACAGAACTAAATGCATTCTCCATTGACAGAAATGGGAAAAATAATTATGTAATCTCTGTGCTAAAGTTCTCCTTAGGCTAGATATTTTTTCCAGTTTGCTCATCTACTCACCTAAAGCACGGGCAATGAAATGCTCAGAACAGCAAACAAGGGGTCCTTTTCCCACACACAATTATAGCCTTTTAACTGCATCTTCTGGAATCCTGGAGTTCATAGCATGATGAAGAACTGGGGTTTTCTTGGTGAGGATGCGAAGCGCCTCTCCCTCAACTACAAATCCCAGGATCCCATGAGACAGAACCAAGGCAATCAGAGTGGAATCAAAATGCTACAATTATGAAGTGGGAACAAGTCCAAGAAGAATGGCACAGTACAGAAGGGGAGGAAGGAAGAGAATGTCAACTCTTTAGCAGCAACAACAAAATAAAACTATGCACAAACATAATGTGGAATTATGCTTACATTTGCCCCTAAAAAGATGTTGACTTCACAATTCTCAACTGAATGCTATGGAACCAAACTGAGTTTCCATTCTTCCCTCTCAACTTTATATGTCGATCCTTTGAATGGAAATGGGATGCTTGTGTTTCTTTTTGCTGGATTAGCCTAAGACATTATGAGATTTTTTTTTAAAAAAATCCACTTTGGGAGCAATAGACTTTTTTTGAGCCAAAGGAGAAGACGGGGCTCCCCAAGTCATATTTTACATACAGGTGGCAACTTTAACTGGTGATTGGGCAGTGTCTTCCATTGTGCCTGAGTGCAGCAGGCTACCATACTGGTGCAGGGCACACCACAAGACATACAGAGCTTTGTCCTCTCCCCAAAACTCATTTGTCACCTGAGCTACTCCTTTACTCTGCTGAATGACAAGGCCAGCCTGGTTTCTTATTCATAACCTTCTGTAAGTTTCAGTGTGCTTGAGACCAGCTCACATATTACGGTTATACCCGATAACTTTCTCACAAAAGCATTAATGCAGTGTGGATAAAACATCCTTGTCTGCTTGGTAGTCTGGCGGATAAAAACATCTCCTCCACATGGCAACAGCAACAAGATGGAATAGTTGAACTGACAGTTCCAGTTAGTGGCAATAACACATAATATCTCCATCAATAAAGGTAACAACACTACAGTTTTTGCTGTTCATGCAATGATGGCTGCATCACCTTGTCACAAAACACTTCTCTTTTCAGCATGTGTATTTCACAACATTGGTTCATATATTGCACTTGCCTCATTGTGTAGCACAAACACACACAAAAAACCAGAGATGCACCTGCCTCTCTCCAAAGTTACTCTGTTAAACAGAGATGCTTATTATAGTAACAAACTAGAGTTGCATATAAAATTCCACTAAGAAATGACGTAGGCGTGCACTACTTGAAAATGTTTCCCTTAAAAAAAATCCAGCTCCACAAAGAGAGCTATAGAAACACTGCATATTTGCACTGAAACATAGAACAAAACAATCAGATTGGGGTACAGCAGCAACTTCTTTCACAAAGAATTTCAAATTCTGCATTAGCTAGTCACAAAGGTTCAGCAGCTGACACAACCTGTACATTCATAGTCTTCTGTTAACTTATCAAAAGAAGAGAGAAGAAGGAAAAATGAAATGATAATGTCATTCTTCAGGGCAAATGGAAATGTATCATACACCAGGCTAAGACAGACTTATCCATCTCTCCCTGGATGACACCAGTAATCAGAGTTGGGATAAAGGCTGTCATCTTTTGTGATACTGATCCTAAGTTGCCCATAAATCATAGGCTACTTTGCTGGTTCCCTTGCCTCTGTTGTTAGGTCAGGCTGGCCAACAACGACCTAAAAAAGAAAGTTGAGGGTCTGCAGGAATCACTCAGATGCCCATGGTATATGATGTCCCTGCATGTGGGACTCTGGGATACCTTTTAAAAGTGGCTGACATGTGACAGCCAGCAGTTGAGTTCTAGTAGTTTAAAGTTTACTAGAACCAACTATCAATCTATCTCTCTCCCTCCTAGAATTGTTCTGACCTATAAGCTGCTCCTCTTGATTCATCTGGGACCATCTCCCACACGGCTCCTCCTTTCTGGGAGCGATGTCCTTCAATTACCATTCTTGCTACTACATTTGAAGGTAAGATGAAACAGCAAGTCCTTTGCCAATAGCTCAGCTAAGACAAGGGATTTAGAGATTCAGTATGATTTGTGGAAAGTGTTTGGCAATGTGCTAGATTGCAATTGAAATGCCTACCAAATTGTAAAACTCATAGGGTAAGTATAGAATGTGATAACACTAAGAATGCTCCCTCCAAATATTACTTCTGCTTTCTTTCCCCAGATAATTTTAGTGGGATAATTGTACTGCAGCATGGCCTCAGAGTATGAAAACAGAATTTTGAACTATATCCAATTGTCTACCTCACAATTCAGGGAAACTATTTGGAACAGAGAGTAGTCAAGGTTTACTGTTTTATATTTTGATAGAAACAATGAAGAGCCATATTTAAGACAACTCCTTTTCTCTCCTGGAGGGCTATGGGTAGATATCAGAGGGAAATAAACCACCCAAAGTCTGTGGCATTCATTAAGCAATTGTCTACAGGACTTTCCCACCTGGTTACATGAATACACTCACCTAAAGGTTGGCAAGAAAGTGTGCTAAATTTGTCCAAGAAGCCTTTGTACAGCTGTATCTCTCCATGTAACAAATAAAGTAACATCTATCTTCTGAATATGTAGCCATTATTGGGATTGAAAGGCCTATTTCTAATTGCCTATTTTATTTTTAAATAGACATAAATGAATTCTACTTAGTGTGTGCCGATTTCCCCCTGATCTGTTTGTATGAATGCAGACAGTTTAAAGTGTAAGCTTATCTCATTTTAGGGCACATCAAGGTTCTACATAAAAAACACCTAACAACCATCATACTCTCTAGTATATTCTGAATGTAAAGCTTTTTGATTTCTGAGAGATCAACATTTTTCATTAAGAGTGGTGGTTGGAAACAGAAGCAAATTGATAGCGTTCTGTCTTGGTTAACTTTATGCAGGTGTTCATTTCATATGGTCAGCATTGAGACTACACTGCAATCTTTCTTTTCTTCCTGCAGAGAAATAGTTCAGTGTAACATTTTTGTCTATGACGAATACACAGCATCTAACCTGCTGAGTTTTCATGTTCAGCCTGATTTAATGGCGTTTTCTGATTTAATATGCACTATTATTTGTGACACTTGGCATATGAGCCATACTGCCATATCACATTCTCTTGCAGGCATGAGCAAAATCAATTGTGCTCTTAAAGAGTTAACAGGGTGTGATAAAAGTCGCCTATTAAGAATGGACAGTGAATAGGCAGTTACAACTACATCTGTCTGCACCTGTATTTGTATGCCTTGAAGACATCGTTGGTCTGCTCAGTAACCCATCTGTGTCTATTACACAATAATGTCATAAACTCTGCCGACTCTTCCCAGCCATTCTCTCATGGCCTGACGAACCCGAATGTCAGTCACATGACATGTCAGCTGGCTGATGCAGGGAAACACAGCTGGCTGGAGGGCTGTGAAGATCTGGTCTGGAAGGGACTGAATCTGGTTGAGAACTGTCAATACCATGTTGGTCCATGCCTAAAGAAATGTAGGAAGAGACAAAGAAAGCAGTAAGGAAATGTGCCTGGTTGAATAACACAATTATTACCAAGGTCAATTGGAAACATGCATTTCAACATGTAGAGCAAGGGTTTTGAGCTTAGAAAATATTCAGCATCAAAACTAACTGAGAACACTAGCGGCCTAGTATGGAAGGTTATTCTTCTACCCTTAAATAGTTCCACTGAGTATTGCCATTCAACATTAAGTGACTGGAGTAGCTGGCCAGAAGAGAAAAACAGCATGTCTATGGTTGGAAAAGAGAGCATTTATTTTCCTTCTAACTCTTAGGACATCTGTATTCAAAAGGCTAGGCAAAAGTGCTTTGTTGCCTGATACCCCCCTCTACTATTTCACATACAGAAGATGACTAAGGCTGTGCCTACACTGGGCAGGGTCCTCTATTGCATACCTGCTCTGAAGCAGCCCTGGATCCTGCACATATGCAAAATCTGGAGCTGGTGTCCAGCCAGGTCAGTACCACATTGGCCGCCAGATGTCACATTGTCTTGGTTGTTGTTGCTACTGCTCCCCATAATTCACAGAGCTCTGAGTGAGAGCCTGGCTGTTGCCTTTCATAATTGTTGATGTCAGAAAGGAGCATCTGTGCAACCTGTGAGAGATCCAGTTGTGCAGATACCTCATTCTGACACAGGTAGACATGACTACAATGGTCACATGTTTGCAGTGAGCTCCATGCCAAGTGGGGAGTGGTGGCAGTGACATGGGGAGGATAAGCTGGCCTTGATTGCATTGAAGCCCCAGAATACTCCAGTTTTCTGTGTCTATTACACAATAATGTCCAGAAAACTCCAGAATACTGCCCATTTCCCCCCGCTAAAACAGGGTAATGTCATGGAGACAGCTAGTGGTGGATTAGAGGTGACTCCAGCTTTTCTTGTTAGTGTAGATAAGCCCTTGCTTTGCAATTGATTTTTTACTTCAGAAGCGCAAGTAAAACTGTCTTCCGCTAAACAGCAGCAAGTCAGTATAAGGCAAAATGACACACAAAGCTCTGCTCTCCAAAAGGGGTGGAATGGCCTTAAGAGAAATGATCATGGCTACTTCTAAAGGAGTTGCCTCACTCTCTAAGAGCAATGTTTAATCTTGATAGTGCTAAGAATCATATCAAAATCAGAAGCAAAATAATATCAAAATCAGAAGCAAAATGAAGACATGGAAGAACTCTTGTTACTTTGGGATGTGGTGGGTTTGTGGGCACTGCTTTCTTACCTGTATTTGTGCCTCGCCATCCCGAATGGATATACTGAGTGAGCTGACAGTCGACCCAGACCGTGGCCTCTTCTCTTGCCTCAAAATCTCTGGACCTGCACTGACGGAATGCCTCATTTGGCCTTGATCAACCAGATTTTGTGGCCTTTGTGGAAGGGGTGAATCTGGACCCCTTGAGCTTAGTGTGTCTCCTTTCTTATCTGCTTTCATCTCTTTGGTAAAAGTAGCGAAGTTATGCTGTTGTTTTCTCTTCTTATATTCTGTCATTAACTTCGATATGGTTTTATCTGTAGCGATGGTGTAGATTTTGTTGCCAGCGCTCTCCCACCACTCTTTTTTTCTGCCCTGGTCCTTCTTCTCTGTTTTGGGACTTAGTGGTGGAAGGAGCAGCATATCTCCACCTCCTCCCTTAGGAGTGACATTCTCTGTAAGCGAGTCCCTCATCTGGCTTTTGTCATCTTCCGAAGGGGTGTCTTTCCCAGAGAGTCCTCCAGTAGATGGGGTGGATGTTTCAGATTGGAAAGATGGAAGGAAGAAGAAAGGATCACCTCTGAAGACTGGGAGCTCATCGGCACTATTTTCCAAATCCAGGTGCATTTGAATATAGTTGTTACATAATTCCATGCACAGTTTATGGAGCCTTTTAATCAGCCAAGCCCAATCTGCATTGCTGACAGGCTGGACACTCAGAGATGGCAGCCTGGCCCTCCACTGCCTCTTCTCTTTTCCTCTTGGCGGACTTACTTGAGCTGTCTCTTCAAAAATGTCTTCATCTTCTGAGGAGCACTGTTGAGATGAATCAGTGCTTCTTTCATCCTCTTCAAAGAGGATTTTCTTCACCTGTTCTGCTGTTATGTTCTCCTGGTTTGTTACAATGGCACAGATCAAGGCATGGAAGTAGATGTTGAAGCTCATTGCTGACTGGCGGTAGAGGTTGGCAGCTCCACCAATGCCAGAGACCTTTTTCAGCAAACATTTCAATCCAGTCCTTGTATCAAATTCTCTGGCCGTTCGGTAGGAATCCAAAAGCAAGTCAAAGATGACTGCCAAATTCTGCATAGAAATGTATCTGAGGAAGCCAGCTAATTTGGTTTCTGGTGGTTGTTGCACTGTCTTCTCCTCAGATTGAGAGGGCCCTTTGACAAACTCTTCCAACAAAATATCATATAAATTCTGCAACAGCACTTGGTGGGAGAGCAGACTAACTACAATAGTCCTGAAGGGGATACTTCATGTACAGGCAGAGGAATGGAAAAGGAAAAAAAAAGCTTTAGAATCTCACTATTATTACTTAACGAATTACCCAATTGCAATTATATTCTTTCTTGTCCTCCAGAAGGAAAATTAAAACTATATCACAATTATGAACATTTTTCTCATAAATCCATCTTACATCGTCATAGGTACATAACAGAATGCTCGCCATTGTCAACTGTGCTTAGGTAATTATACATTTAATCATCCTATTTAAAATACTTATTTTAAATATTCAATAAACATTATTATTATTAATATCTTCTATATAAATAAAAATGTAATGTTCGTTTGTGGTATTTGTGAAGATCCCTTACCTTGCCAGCCAGGGTGGCAGGGCCCAGGAAGAGACAGGCTAGGTAGTTTCAGC